TTAAACTAGATGAGTACAACAGTATATAACGTGCCATTAACCAAAGCAACTTGGGGTTAACTCAAGGGAAGAAATCTATACACAACAAAAAAAACTCAAACAAGTGAGAGAACTACAACAATCTGAAAGACATTACAGCAGGAAAGCACAGCTTAATCTTGTTATCAACAGATCGGATTACCACTGAATGACATTGAACTACAACTTCTGAACAAAGACCTCAACTTCACCATCTACCACAAGACAATACCCTGACTAGAATTAAAGACCGGCCTAGAAGATTTATCCAGAAGACTCGTGATTGTACATTTGTAATAAAAATTTCTTTCACTACCCATTTAAGCCATCTCCATACAAAAATTGGGTTTCTCATCATCAAATTTGAATACTTGACTTGAAGAACTTTATATACAAATCTTCAGTTAAGATGAACAGTCGCCATGAAGTTAAATAAAGCACTAAAGAAGAACTAAGTACATCAGTTAAATAATGTACTTAGCAACTGAAGGAAATCAATGTGGCAGTTAACATTTAAATTAAATAAAAGTGTAGTGTGTTTGTGTGTGTGAAAGAGTCAGTTCATTAACCACGTAGTGGGAAAACATTGCCATTTCGTGTATTCTTGAAGTCACTGAATTGGAAAGTTTGATTTAAAAAGTTAATACCTTTCACTCTTCTCCCGTCTGTTTATGTAACAGTGTAATCTACTTTATTAATATTTGTCTAATGGTTCTCTCCTGAGCAACAGGGTAGCATGTATCATAGTACTGACATATTCACAAAAGTTGAAGTTGCAATGATGACAACACTGTATTGTACTTTTACACAGAACTTGTTTCTTATATGAATCAGACTTTTCATAATGGTATCAAACTTTTTGTAAATTATTTTAAATCAGTCACTGATACCATTTACTTGTTCTTTGGTAGAGAATGGTAAAAGTTTAAAAAAACATTAATTTAATAGCTATTTTGAAAAAATAAAATGTATTTTAGGCTATAGAACACCTCAATGTAGACCTAGAGTGTGATTAGTAAAATATATATTTAAGCAGTTGATAAATGATTTATATTTTACTTCAGTAAAAGTGTTTGTAGTAGAAAATTTTATTGTAAAGTTTCAGTCCAACATTATTATTATGTTATTTCATCATAGATCACTGACAATAATTATCACTTAGTGGAAAATTAGACCTATAAAAATACACTTGAATGAAAATTAAGTAATTTGCTTTAACTTTTGCTTGTTGTTGCCAGTCCTGTAATGTGAAGTGTTTGCTTATAGTAGTGCATATCTATAAGAATTATTTTGAGAGAAATATTGCATAGAATGTAGTTAAGAAATTTTAGTATGGTGCTGTTACTGCATGATATGGAATGTACCTAAAGTTTGATTGAAAAAAATTACTTTTTCTGGTTGTATATAGAATAACATTTTATGTCCACACTTTTCCATACAGAAATAATTAGTATCATTAATCTACAGTCATTATTAAATTATTTTGTACTATCTCTGTATCTATAAAACAAACAAAAGGATTTCATTTTAACTAAACATAATTTTCCAAGACATTTTGAATAGATATATGGTAGATGAAAATTTAAAAAGTAAAACAAACTAAGCTTTATAATTGTTTTAGCAGCTGAGTAGTATTTGTCGATACAGTACCTTACCTTTTTTCACATAATAGCTTTTCTTTATTACTGCCCTCTATGTGCACAATTTTCACTTGCCTTGATACTTCCACCTTCCTCCACATGTTGTGATGTGGTACCACTGCACTGTAGCATGCAAATAAGCATGCAACAACCCTCCACTTATATGAGTGTGATGTACCCTTCTAGTGCAGCTGACTTCCTCTGTGTTGTAGAACCCAACTTTCACTTCCAGATTTGGCACTCAAGTGTTTGATCGTGTTGCTTGCTGCTCTTTGAGTCTCATTTTTGCAGATTTTTTTAATGAAATTGGAACTTCATTTTTCTGTAATTTATTGCAAACTGAATTTCTTCTACAATTTTTTCTTGATTTTTCAAACCCTTTTATTTCATCAATAAGGTTCCCTTGCAGTATGTAACCTACTTGTTTTATTGTGATGAATTTGCAGTTTCATGTTACTACAACTTTGACATTATCCATGCCACTGACCAAACACCTGTTACTGTAGCATCTGTATTAACTTTATTAGCTGAAAAGCTTTTGACACTCGTCTGCTGGGAGTTGGAATCTTTGATGGGTTTGAGGGTTCTCATGAATCTCAGTCAGTTCTTCTCTGCCCAGGGGAGGCTGAGCAGGATACAAAGATTTGTACAGTCTTTTTCCTTTTCCTTCCTTTGCTATGCAGTTTAGATCAACATCTATAGATACACCTTGACTTTCATCTACTTTTCTGGACTTGGTGACAGGTATTTTATGTTTTGTCTTTGTCCCCTGTGTCTTATAACCCCTCCCTTTTACATGACTTGCCTTCTTTTAGTTATTTTGTTTTTCCTCTTTCTCTGATATCAGGATCCATGCCAGTCAGTCATGTTCAGGAATCAGCGTGCCTTGTTCCCCATGTACTTCTGAGGCTCACATGTTGGGCTTATCATTGCTCTGCAAATCCCTTCCTCGGCTCTCAGCAGCTGGATTTGTTAATCCCTGCTTTGAGTTCAGATACTGATATATCAGTTAATTTTCCCAAACACAGTTCTCCAACCTTTGTTTAACCATCATCACTCTCCTTCGTTATTTCTCTTTCATTCACCTCTTTTCTGAGGCTATCCATCATTCCCCTGAGAGCTCCTTTTCCCTCACACCTGGCTTCTTTGTTGTCGGATATTTTAGGTAGGGATGCACTTTTGACCCATGCATGTCAATCCCCCATGTCTTTGCAGAACTTACATATGGTCCCCTTTTTATGGAAGTCCATTTTGGGGGATTTCCCTGATTCCATGGAGTTTCTTGTGGAGTCTGTTCCCCTGCATAATCCCTTATTCTCCCTTGCCACTTATCTGTCTCAACCTTCCCTTACTTCTTTCCCTGTCTCCAACCCCTATCCTTCCTTTCCCTTATCTGTTCCTTCATCACAGGTTTTGGCAACGAATCATTGTATTATGCACTGCTAGCCCACATGCCACCAATGGTTCCAGTGATTACTGAGAGGGTACAGTTCCAGTTGGGGCAAGGCTGTTCTATTTTGACTCTCTCTGGTGGACCTTTACAATGGATCCATGGGTTCTTTCATTGAAGGCTCTCTCTTTGTTTTCTCACCCCTCCTCCATTATCATTTTCTTCTGTTCCTTTCCCTCTTCAGGATCCTGTCTCCAGCCAGCATCTTTTTAATGTGGTTCAAAACCTCCTTTTCAAGGGTGCTATAGAACTTGTTTTTCACTCCTTTCAGAAGTTCTGTTCCAGGTTGTTCGTGGTCCCCAGAAAAACAAGGGATTGGCATCTAGTCATCAACCTTTTCCATCTAAACCACTACATAGACATTTTGAGTTTTACTTCAGACCTCAGGATGAAGAAGATCGATGTGTCAGATGTATATCTTTATATCCCCATTTCCCCTGCATCCTATAAGTGCCTTCGGTTATTCCACGAGGATTGTGTCTATCAGTTCAGAGTCCTTCCATTTGGTCTGGCCTCATCTCCTTACATTTTGCTCATCTACTACACTTTCAAGGGCTGTGTTTCAATCATTATATATACAAGTGGCTCCTTTTGGCTCCCTTTTTTCCAGCTTCTTTGGTCTATACTCAGTTTACTCTCAGAGAAGCTGCTTGGGTAGGTTAGCTGATCAAGGTGAGGAAATCCATTCCTACTCCAACACAATGCCTCATTCATCGTAGGGTCTTTATCAACTCCCATATCAGTCTGGCCCAGCTTTGTCCCCTTCAACTGAGGAGCTCTTGGTTCAGAAGGCTTGATCCTCTTCTTCTCTATCCATGCCAAAGGTTCTATCTCTTTTGAGGAATTGGGCTTCCAGCTGTAGTAGAGGTTGTTTACTCTCCTCTTACTGCAGACTTGATGTACAGTTCCAGATGCCAATTGGGTTTTGACTGGATGAGTCTACCACATGCAGTTCACCCCCTCCATCTGAGAACCCCTCTTCTTACCACCACCTGGATATTGGTTCCTGGGTGTGCTGGTGCTGGTTGGAGCTGGACTGACCACCATAATTTCTCACACATATGATTGGGTTGGGATCCTCCTCCTACCATGGACTGGAGAATACATTCCCAATGTCTCATGTGTATTCCACCTTTCTGCCATCACCCAGATGTCTGTTTCCCAGGTGGCTGGTGTTGGATGTGTATTAGGTCTGCACACGTGTGCCAGGTTGGGTTCTCGGAATGGAAGTCTTTTTTTCTTTCTGGTTCCTGGGCCTGAAGTGAAGATGGTAAGGATCCTCCTCTTACTATGACCCAGACGATTCATTCCTGGTACTGCTGGTTTTGGACTGGAGTTGACCCACTGATTAAGGTACAATGCATTGTAGCCACTATACACCACTGGCCTGTCCATAGGATTGTCAGATGTACCTTCTTTCCACCCTTTCATTTATCTACAGCGAGGAATATACCTGGTTTAGATGCAGTGCAGTCTCCCATGTGTGCGTTTTCTCTGCATCAAGATGGATTCTCTTCAGACACTTTCTGAAAGATGATCTTCTATGTACTTTTGTACTGGTCCCTCTGCCAGGTCAATGAAGGATTATAGCTATTATGTGAGAAGAGGCAAGGTACTGTATTGGAAGTTATACTTTTCCTACACTGAAAATGTTACAATGCAGTGGTACAACGTCGAAACACATGGGGGTAGGTGGGAGTATCAAGCAAAAATTGCACATTTAGAGGACAATAATAATTGAGAAAAGCTATTATGTGAGAAGAGGTAAATATTTATCTGAAATACATTTTAAATGTTAGAAGATCATAACATTAAAAAAAACTTTATCAGAGGTTTTAGCTGAATATCAAAATCATTGTGTAGACCAGCTAACAATTTTTTTTTTGTTCTAGATCGTGGCAACATCCCAATAGCTGTTGTCTCACCACAATCTCGAACCCATAGCAAAGCTGATGAAGACTTACCTTCCATGCTAGTAACATCTTCAATGCCTAGCATGCAAAGCTTAGACAAAGGGCCAAGTGAAGCTGGTAGCCAAGTTTGTCTGCTGGTCAAACAGAGCTCTGTATAGTAATGTAACTTTATGGTAAATTTCTTTGTAGTGTTACATGTGTCTTTAATCAAGCTTTTGGAAAAAAAATAATTTTTGATGTTATTGAGTGTGGTTAGTATTAAAAGTGTGCCATATATCTGCACAAATCATAGCACATTTGCTGTGGCATTTGCTACATAAGAATATCAGGGAATCCAGTGTCTAGGTATTTAAAAAAAATCTACAAAGAAAAAGAATTAGAATTGAAGTAAGAGAAATTTTAAAATTTCCGTAGACATGTGGTTTCAGCAGTCTTAGTCCAGTTACAATAATTCAGTCAATAATAGTCTGAAATTTGTTTTATTTAGTACCAACTAAGGAGATACTGGATGCACAGTATATTTACACTATGAATTGCTAGAAGTTCAATTACGCTTTTTGTCTCGAAGGAGCGAAATGTTTTCTCAAAGTTATTTGAAACCTGTACTTATAAAACTGAGGAGGTAAAACTTTTTACTTGGTAATAAACAGTCTATAACTTTATTCAGCAGTGAACTTGTTCATGTCTCATAAGTAATGTAGTTTACAATGGTCATTTTGCCATCCTGATAAACACCTCATTTGTGCAGAAATATATTTAATGTTCTGATTTTTGAATAAAATGGGCACCTTAGCCAATATAAATTGACTCCATTTTTTAAATTTCTTCACAAGCTGTTATCTAGGTTTTTTTCATGCATTTACTATTTCTCTCTGAAAAAGAGCTTAGGAAATGTTGTTTTCCCACAAGGAAGGCCTAAAGCACACCCATTACAGTAAAAGATTAGTCTTAGTTTCTGTAATGTATAAGTTATATATTTTTTAATCCATTATCTGGATAAGTAGTTATGAATTACATTTTTTCTTTGGTGTGTTTTAAGTTAATTTTAATGTGAATATTTGAGATATGTGCTGACTTTCTACTAATGAAGGAAAAACCTTGTTTCTATATGTTACAGTTTCTACTGTCACAAACTAGGTATGAGTTTAGTGTTATCTGTTAGATGAAATATGATTGTAAGTATTATTATTATTTATCATAGTTTTTGTATAAATTTTCTTACATGAGAATTGAAAGTTTGTGAAGATGTATTAGTTGCTGATAATCAAATAATTTATATGGGGGGAGAAGCAGAGCCATGAAGAATTGTAACAAAGCAATTGAAAATATTTTACAAAACTAAACTGTCTATGTTTAGTGTAATAATCATGTCTTTTCGTTGCTGTATTTCTTATAGTGCACAGTAAGATCTAATAAATAATATAAATTTAGATGTTGCCATTTCACTGGTACTGTATTTTTTTTTTTTTTACAAAATTTGTTTTAATAAGCTTAATCTACAGAAGTTCTTTGGAGCTCTGTCGGGAGACTTGCTCATATTAAAGTACACTTATTGTTTTTCAGTTGTTTAGAGCCATGATGATTTAACAATTTGAGGATGTTATATCATGTTGATGATAGCTGGATTAGGTGAATTTTGGCTGAACTATGATACTTACACTGTCTTTCAAGAGAATGAGACATGAAGGTTAAACCGAACTTAGAATGGTATATCTTATCAATTTAGGCCTTCAATCTTTTTGTAAATCTCACCAAGCAAGTCAGACCTCTCCTCCATTATGGGTTGCAAAACTTGGCACTATTGTAAAGTTAACTCTTGTTGAATTTATAAAGGAGCTTTATTTTTTGCATTTACTAAAATTTTTTCCTCTAATTGTCCTTCACAGAGGCAACAGCAAGTGATTGTGTTTTAGATATGTCTCTACAGTACACATATGACTCATCCACTATTATATGTAGATATTGATCATAAAGCTTCTGATGGTTATTTGTCTGATATGTTTTTCTTAATCCAGCTATCTTATAGTGACTGGTAACAAATATACTTGGTCTGTAATGTTTGCAATGTTGATGGATTTTAATTTTAAAGTAAGATTTTTATTTTGTTAATAGTTTGGAGATTATTTTTGATAGTCATTCTTTACTTATCCATTGAACTTTTCATTAATTTCAGTCAATTTCTTTTTATTATGAAGAAAAAGTGTTCTATTTCAGATCATTCTTATGTTGATATTGTCTATGGGAAAGGATGATACTTTGTCACATATTCTTCCAGGTTAGTTGTGAAACTTTATACAGCTCCTCCTTTTAACACTGTTTAACCAAATTCAACTAGTATCTAAATTATAAGCACGTCAGGATGTTTTCTACACATGCATACTAATGTGTGACTTTTTTGGTGGAAATTATGATTTCAGTAACTGAAAATACATAACTGTATGCAGCTTACTTTGAAATATAAATAAATAACTTAAACCATCTTCAAGATAGCATAATTTTTTACAAAATATTTATGAAGGATAAAAAATAGAACATACACTAGTGATTTCGTACTTGACAAGATATAATAAAACAGCCTTACCTTTGGTTATTTGTCCAATGTTTAGAAATACTAAAGTTTTAAAGCATTTTACTACAGTAATGGAAATACATAATATTGAAAATAAATACAAATAAAATCTCTGCATCAATGTAGAAAAAAGCAGAATAAACACACAAAAATTAATTTTCTGTAAAACAAAACACAGAATGGTGTTTTTATGCTAAAGTTTTAAAAACCATAAACTGGTATTGAAATAGTAAAACATTCATTACATTAAATTTCAGATGCCTGGTGTTTAGGGCACTTAACATCAGCCGTGGGGGCATTATAGTGTAATGGTTAATCCCACTGTTTACTAGTGAAGGGTAGTCCAAGAGTTGGCAGTGGGTAATGTTGACTAACTGCCTTCCCTTTAGTCTATTGTTTCAAAATTAGAGATGGCTAGCACAAATAGTTCTTGAGTATCTGTGTATGAAAATTCAACAAACAAACATTTCAGGACATGTCTGCATAAAAAATATGAAACTTTAGTATGATACATGTAAACAGTAAAAGAATGTTATTAGCATAAGTGTAAATGATTATGTTGAGTAATCAACAAAACTTTAGGTGTTGGACCACTTATGGTATTTACTGATTTATGTAATGGTAAACATTAAAACGAGAACACATTGTTTAATCATCCAAAAGTGTCTAAGAAGTACTACATTAGTAGGAAGATTTCAGCAAAAACTTAACTGTAACTATATCCAAATTATTTTGTGTATTAAATGTTAACATACATATCCTATTTATATGTATAAAATTTCTGTCATATTTTTCATATAGTTTTGAATATCAAAACTCATTTTAATTACATGAAACATTGTTTTTATTTTAATCATTTCACATGAGTCAAAATATCCTGAATTTGGGGGAAACTGGTGTAGCTAAGGCTTGAACACTTGGATCAACTGTCTACAATACCTCACACTGACAGTACCCCTATACTACAAAACTATCGTATTATTGAATTTTATGGTTTAAATATCAAAAACTAGCAAAGCATTAGAAGCCAATAACCCTAGAGTAACATTTGTTTTAATCATGAACAAAGTAAAAGGAGTCTGTAAAACATCTGGATGTTATGTAATTTATATTTTATTATTAACTCCAATGGACACCCACTTGGGCACAGTATTTTTAACCAAACTGTTGGCAAATCTGCACTGCAGAAGCAAGATGATGTGAATCTAATAAGCTGTTTCACATGCTGATTGCTTTGGCAACCAGTCAGAATCTAGAGTCTTGCCATCTCTGTTTCCTGATACTTAGCCTTGATATGCTATTTAGCTCATATGGGGATTGCAAAACTGGCAAGTGAAAAGGTCTTGTTAATCACAATAATAATAACTTTCTGTACTCGGTACCTTGCAATTTAGATGAGTGAAATACATGTGCCATGGATGTATTGATCCTTAACAGGAAAAATCTGTAAACCCTCCTACTGAAATGTGTACTAGCAATTTTTTCTTGTGTCCTCTAAATTTTACTAACAAAACTGTAACACTGACCAGAAATTTACTAGTTTTATAGAATTAATTTCAAGATCTGCTTAACCTATGATTTGTTACTCACTGCTAATTTCTAGAGAGTGGGAGACACTTTGTTTCATATCAAATAAGACAAACTTTATCTTAACTTAATGTTTGAAATATGTATTATATAATCCCCACCCAAATTATTAAATAAAACAAAGTATTTTGTAGATATCTTCTTGAGCTTTGTAAGCTAAGTTCGTCATGTTTAAAACAGTATTTTTACTAGAGATCACTAGTACCAACAAAAATGATGTCATCATACTGTAAAGCTGTTGTGTTTATTTGACTCATTTGTTAGTGTTATTATTATTATTTAATATGTTAAATGCATATATAGCAAGATGAAGCTTAATAAGTATTCTTTTTACCAAAGAACAATGGTGTATGAACAGTCAATGTTTTCTGTAAAATTGGATATGATTAACCTGATTTGTAGCAGCTAACACTATTTGGCAAGTCCTGTTGTTTATTTGAACTCGGCTGTTCTTTTGTTTTAGTGAAATAATGTTTTGTCGGGAAATATTCATCTATCAGTTACATTTTATAGCCCACATTGTGTGTGTAGTACGCACAACTTTTTTGAAGCCCTGCATTCATGTATAAACTGTGCAAAGTTTCTGAATTAAGTACATTGATGAGTGTTTAATACTTTCTGTAGGATGCTAAAAGACCAAAACCAAATTCAGTTGAATTATAGGATAACGATATGGTTAAAGTGTAAATATATCAGTGAAGTATATATCTGAGTTTTAGTATTGTGCTAAACCTTAAAATACCTTCAGTTCAGTAATTATCACTTTATATCTTGGAGTGCTGTGAACCTTATATTTATGTATTGTACAGTTCAATATTAACTTGATAGTCGCATGTTATGCCTTGCAATGTTATCAGTTTCTAAAGCACCACATACTACGTCTTGGAGTACTGTGAATTTTCTTTTATACCATTGACTACCACCTTCGTAGACACATGTTACACCTTAGTGTCATTAAATACCAACATTGTACTTATGTATTATACTACAGAGTGGCGGGAAATTGGCAATCACGGCATGTTTTGTAGTTTTGTGAACTTGATACTGTATCATTATATACCAATGTGATAGTCATGTTTAATATTTCGAAACGTTGTCAATTTAATAATTATCACATGCTATACCTTTAAATGTATCATTAAGCACTTAGTAGGTTATCAAATGTTGTTCTTTGTAGAATCTTTAATTTTTGTATCACATTAAACCATAATACATTCATTCTAGTGAGATAAGTTTTATTGTCCTTTGGTTAACCAACTTATCTGTGTTTGGTACACACAAAATAGTTAATTTATATTATATTATTGAGATCTCCTGATTTGCTGCTGAGGAATTATACCATTAAGCGATATTAACTTATACTCAAGAGACTGCTGTTAAAGTTTCTGAAACATTTCTTGTATCATCATCACAGCTTTTTAATGGCATACATTTGTTTAAATAAATCATATGTTTTACGTAAGTGCTATTTTATTGATCTGTGTCAACTGATTTACATCATCTTGAAGCATTCATTTAAAATTATTCTATGCTAGGTGATTCCATTGTGTTCCAAACATCAACTAATCATATACCATCTATAGTTTACAATGTCTTATGAAAATTATACTGTACCTGCTGATAAGCTATGTCAAAGTTTAGATTTTATACACTAAAGATATATAATAAATGTCAGTAGAAAAAAAATTGAAAGAAATTCTCTGAAACTGTTAACTTCAATGCATAGTACACCATACAACATGTGAAGTGCTCCCCAAGTATTTCCCAAATATTTGGTCTGTGTAACTCATAAGTTCACATATCTTTGTGCATTAGAAACAATCTATATGACTAAGTTTTTTAGCAGTTTTCTCACTGTGCATTTTGTATTGTCAAAAATTAGAGTTATCTAACATAGTTTAGAAATATTTTGATAATTGCAGACAAGAATTAATGATTCAGTTATTAATGATATCATTCATTTCAATACATTATACTAATTTAAATTTCTGTTTGGCACCATTATATGAGGTATTATCACTCTTCAATTGAAAAACATACAACTTTCTTGTAATTAAATGTTTTCATCAAAGACACTAAGTACCTTAGAATACTTCTGTTTACAACACATGCACTGGATATTTTGTATATTCATCATATTTTTTTGTACATTTTGATTCATGTATATGAAAGTGTTAGGTTTTGGTACATTAAAAACTGTTAACTATCCTAGAAATTGCTAACATCATCATGAACAATTACGTAATAAACCTGTGTATGTTTTAAAAATTTGTT